TTGCACACACAAAAGACAGATAGTCGACGTAAAGAAAGAGAAAGAGCCAAAAGAGAGAGAGAGAGAGAGAGAGAGAGAGAGAGAGAGAGAGAGAGGGAGAGAGCAAGAGAGAGAGAGAAGAAGGGGGGGAGGGGTGTTTGATACTACGTAGTTTCACTTGAGTTCTAATCTAAGTATTCCAAAAAGTCACAATCGTTATTTCTTAGACAACGGAGATAAATGAATAAACAAAAGGCATACAAAGTCAACACTGAAGTCCCCACCCGGAAAGCGTTTTTCAATTTGACATCCAAGTTAACTAGAAGCTTGATAATTAAACGAATAAAAATAGTAGCGAGGAGTACGAAGCTATTGCCAATTTGCTCACAAAAGGGTTTAATCTTTAAAATTCATTTTTCTGAGGATGTATATAATATTCAAGTAAAAGTAGCATTGCAAAACATATTTTTGACTCGCATGTTTCATAAAAATTCACAATTAACCTTTCTTTTTCTGAATTATTTGCTAGCATACAAACAGTCTCATTCGGTTCATAGTGATGGCTGGAGAATCGATAATAACCTGGAAGTGCCGGCTGGAGAATAACAAACATGGCCGACTAACGGGACTGTGTTGTGCTGGCAGTGTTCGAAAGCTGTGTATCGCAAGATCTTAACGTCAGAACGTCGCTGTAGTTATATTTATGGCCTCGTCTACCAACATGTGGTAATGATACGTATCGAGAGAATAACGCAATGGCTTTTAAGACTATTTTCACGGAGTGTTTGTACTTTTACTGAATGGAGAATGAAGACGAAATGGAGATTCTTTTTTGCCGGTGCCCTGGCTGTTGTGCTGTTTGGATCCTACAAAATTTTGGAACCAGAATTGTTTCGTCAAGCTGAACCATATGATCCTTGGAATAAACAGCCTTTCGAAGCTGGAAAAGATCTGAAAGATGGACCTAAAGAAATCATAGTGAACCGTCCTTTTGAACTCCGGCCAGATGTTGTGATGAATGGCAATGTGGAAGTGGATCCAGGTGCCGTCTCTGTGGACAAGGTGAGTGTTTAGCCTATAGATCTATACAGCAGTAAGAAGGAGCAAAGGAGTAGAAAGGCTGCAGAAAGTGTCAGGAGCCCAGAGGAGGGGGCAAAAGAGGTGAAGGGGTGGGGGCAGAAAGTGGAGACGAAAGCAGACGACAGAACATTGTGATTGTGCTAGAGAGCAGGAAAGGAGGTGAAAGGAGACAATTTTAGATAAAAATAATAATATAATTGTTCTGTCGTTACCCGGATTGAAACCAGGGGTCTTTGAATGAGAGGCAAACACCTTTAAAACCTCTAGGCCACAAGAGCCCCCCACTCTTGGTTTGGCACAACAATTGTTTTTCTGAGGTCAGAGTGGTACTGAGCGCAACAAACTCTGTGGCACTGACAGTTTAAAGTTAGACCGCTGCATCATGTGGTGACGTTGACTGTTGGGATTTATTGATAATTTTTATTTATTCCTTATACGCTGGGAGGGTCG